TAGCGCCGACAACATATTGACATCTCCAAATAAGGGGTCTTGCAGATTGGCGTTAGATAGACTTGGGTCCACGGGTTGCAGAGCTGCGATTTGATCCTGCGGCACCCTGTGTGTGTATGCCGCACCTGAATGTATACGATCCGGATGGCAGTACATCGCTCTATCACAGAGTTGTTCAATAGCTCTCCAAGCTGGCAACCTCGAAGCTTGTACGTCGGAACTCGTGTACTTTCGGAAGCAAACATCGACTTGAGCCCAAGCTTGATCTACATCTGCATGATCAAGCTGACGTGCTAGATTCAAAAGCAGAAAGGCTATCATACCCCAAGGCACTGGCCAATTGTAGATCCAACCCCAGTGATGCGCTGTGGCGATGCTCTCGCCTCTATGTATCTCCTCCATTATCTCAACCGCTTCATGGAAAAGCCTCGAGTTTAATATTTAGTATGCGAGATCGGAGGTTGACTTCAAGGGAGATAGCTCACCTGGGTTGCTGTTTCATGATAGTCTCCTTGGACGCCATCTGCTTCGCATAACTCAGATCGACTTGAAAACGAGCCCACCGCATATGTGCCCTTGCACGAGAAAGAGTGACCAGCTGCATTGGGTCGGTTTCATCTAAGTGATGGAGGAATTTTTTGTTTATGTATTCCTCATCGTCATCGAGAGCGCGGTAGATAAGATCCGGGGACGAGCCTTGAGCCTTGAGCTTTAAGACACGACGCTGAGTGCTCAAGACTTCCTGACGAATAATAGGAAATGTCATCTCGGTATACCCATCCCTGTCTTCAGCCCCGGTATCGTCTTTTGCAAAACGAGTGGGAGTCCAGTCATCGTCATCTGCGTTAGTCGATCGATAAGTATTCGAGACTAGATCAAAAACAGCTTCCGATCCTTCGCCAGTAAAGTATTGGTTATCCATAAGGAGCAGATGATTCCACATTCTTCGCCTCATTTCACCAACCCAAGGTGACAGATTATAATGGCGTGGATCCCGATGGAGTCCTATTCTCATTCCAACCCTTCCAGCAAGCATGGTTACGTTCGAACCATGATCCGATTGTCCTGTTGTATATAAGAATGTCTTCCGAGATTAGTATTATCCTAACAACTTCTATGAGAGTGAGGGGTTTTCTCTCGATCATCATTGTTTGAACAACTTACAATATAGTACAGTAACACCTGAAATGCCATTATCACTCGGCTACGCAGGATGTTCGCTCTCGTCATAGCCATCTCAGTCGCGGTACGAAAATGGGCGAGAAGTTCCGTTTTATTTTGACCTAGCAGCTGCTGAACGCGGTCTCCAGGCATAGAGGCAATTGTCAATAGTTGCTGAGCGAAAATAGCGGCTTCAACAACTCGCTCGAGCTGATGAACCCCTCGACGAAACTCATTGATGTCGGTCTTCCAAGTCGATCGGTGCGCAATTTTAATAAATGGTTCGACGTTTTTCCAGAATTCTACCAGAATAAGATCCTCTTTCTCGATGGGGAGGTGCATATGCACAAGACTTGAGGGTATTCCTAGCATGGGGGAAGCAAACCCGAACGGCCAAGCGCTTTCTAGGGCGTCTTCATGTCCAACTCGGGTGAGACAACGTGGTTCGAGATTGAGATCCTGTTGGTTCATCCAGAAGCTCGGATTCATGTAATATGATACATGTGGTTCCGTGATCAGCACTCCTCGAGGTGTTGACTCATCGTCGTCTCTTGAGCTTCTGCTCGGAGAGTCCATATCTGGACTCAATCGGCGCGGCGACTGGCCTTTGTATGAGCTTGACATGTCGGCAATTAAGCGTTCAAGTTTGTCGATTCTTTCGTGTAGCACATTCTGATCGCCTCCTATCCCTATCCCAGAATTGTCGCTTTCAAACTGACAAAGGGCTCCGTGCTTCACACAGTTACTACATGGTTGATTCTTATCGCAACGAACCTTCCTCCGCCGACACGCATTGCAGGGTTTGGCTAAGCTCAGTCTGTCTGTAGACATATCGTTCATTGGCAAATTGAGGGACGCACAGGTAGTTTGGGGAGCGAAAACACCACTGCCCTTGCGTCGCGAGATCAAGGCCAATATAACAAGCAACAATTCTTGAACTCGAATACCACTAGCATGTGATAAGCACGGAAGGCAATTTATGTGAGTGATAATATTGGCCACAAAAAGACTTCACAGAGAGCTCGTAATGGGTGTCTTGTTGAAAGCTATCTAGGCCTGCTGACAGTGGCGGGGCAAGACAATCGGGGTCAAGGTTCTCAGGCCCCCAGTGCTCAATGTCGCCAGATAAAGTGGATCTACTGTGGAGTGTTAGGGTGCCTAACAAAAACCTCGAGATGACATTAATACCCGAGTCTCCACTCCGTGCTGACTTGCATCTATCTTGCTGGCGATTGCTACAACTAATGGATACGCTATCGCATGCTCGCAAAGGTATTATTGAATGATCTGTTTAATAAGTGAATAGAAAGCTTTATACGTTGTTCTGGTAGTCATATTCGGTTCCCCAGTGTCCTTATGTTTCCAGCCAAACACGCAGCCCAGATCTCATTTTGCTGACCATTTCGGCATCGCTCTCGTCAAGCTTGTCCTCGTAATGAATATCGCAAGGACTGGCCATTGACAGCCCCGCACTATTACTATAATTATAGCCCTTCGACCAATACGGGAACCGCACCAGAGCTTGCGTCAGCAGACTTTTATCCCAGGGGCTGGGTCTCGAGATAGCTTGATGGCACTATCAGGAAGCCGTGAAACCTGCCGAAGGGCTTACTCATCCCATAGTCTCCAAGCACCGACTAATGGGCGCCAGTCCTCACTATGGGCTGTTGCCAATCGCGCTCACAATTGTTGAAAGCATGCATGCCTTTACTGCCAAACTCATCCTTGAAGTAGAAATTACTTTTTTTTTCTTCTTAGAGCAGACAAACGATCGTTTATGAGTCATTAACAAAGGGAACAGTTCTCGGACCTGCTTCTTGGCCAGGACGCTTAATTATACCTCCCAGAGGAATGCTCTTCTATCCTTGACTTCTTACTCAGGCCAGTCAGACCTCAATTGAAAGTTGGAAACGGAAAGCTTTGCTCAGAGCATCAATAGATTAACTGAGAAAGCCTCCCAAGAACATTGATATGCTAATTTTGTCAGAACTACTTTAACATCCCTCGTGTCCGCTAAGCCACTCTTGACTTCCTTCGGCAGAAGAGGGTGATTGCCTTTGGCCCTTTGGTTATTCGTTGGATTCTTGTTGCCTAGAAGAAGATTTCAGATTATACATTTGCTAGACATTTTACTGTGTTAAAATTGGTTACTGTGGAGAAAGGGAATGGTATTATGTCTCATTGTGTATCTTTAGCAGCAAATTGCTTGCGTGTTTAAGGGCATACACATCATAAATTGGGTTGCTCGATGACATAAAGACCAATATCAGACAGCAACGTAATGCTACAGCAGTAAGGCAAACAGAACATTTAGACCACCAATAATCAAATTGCGCTGACCACTTGGACTAGATATCTCCTCGGAAATAAGTCAAGGTAAGACTGTTTCCAGGCTTACTCATCGTCCCTTGAACCCTTGTTGGGCATTTTTGTAACATCGGGCCGTTTCTCCTACTGAATTCAAAGAGTCTTCAGGAAATGATTCATTGTCAGAGTTCGACTGTGGTTCAACGATTCGTATTTGCTGAATGGATCGCCAGTAGTGGGGCAGCCTCGGATGAGAAAAGATATGCGAAAATCACAATGATCATTTGAATAAAATATGCCCGGAATAATGTAGTGCGGGAAACCCAATAACGTAAATATCGTGGAGTGAACAGGTCAGACCTTTGGTCGCCGGCGAACCTTTCGGCGAATTCGCCGAAGGCGCTTTGACATGGGAAGGCGAACGAATCCGTCTGATCTAGTCTTGTCTAGTTTAGATCCTTAGGGATTCAAATCGACAACACCATTGCATCAGCGGGACGTCTCTCGCAAACTTATCTGCGAGGTGGTTCCTCGACATAGCACCGCACAACTCCATGGTTTTCATAGAACATTGCAGGTATCCATGCATTGCGGTCACAGCTTCTAGTTAAACGGCGACAAAAATCATAGAGTGTTAGTTTTGGACCATGGAGGCTCCATTAGGTTCTTTCCTACGTGGCTGTGAGAAGCATATCGGCTATCCCCTAATATGCGGTCGTTGAGACTTGGTCTTAAACAGCACATTTAATGAGGCTGACATGATAGACTACTTTACAAGTGGTCTAAGGTAAGAACGCATCGGTGTATCATGGAACAACCTTGCAAATATCAAATGTTTATGAGTAATCAGAGTCGCATGGAATAATAAAGTAGCTGATTATATAATTTCGTGTCTTAGACCACACGCATGCAAGCGTCAGTAGATGATGGTCCCAGCAGAGTGGTAAGGGCCGAATTAAGGTTCTTATGTGTACATACACGAACGGTGGTGAGGTGTTAGTGAAATGCCGAATTGAAAATCGTTGGTGGGACTGGTGATAGAAAACAAGTTCCTTATCTATGGGACCTTCCCAGTTCAATCATTAGTGCGTTGCGCGAGAATAAATGGAGACGGCTCGGGGAGCATTCCGCGGCACTTTCAATCGGTGGTTTGTTCTTTTAAAAACACAAACCTCAAGCTTCTTGCTTCTTCATCTTCCTCTTTGCTTACCCATTGACTTATCGTCAGCCCACGACCAGATATTGAACGGTGCAACCAGCAGTTCGTGAGCTTATAGTGAATAGCAATCCGAATGGCGCTGAATGAGAAGCTGCCGCTTGCACAGGCCCCTCCGCGGCCAGAAAGCGAGCGGAGTCGAGCTCGGAAAGCGGGAAACTGGACCCTATTGTCGATTGTCATCGCGTTGGGGCTCTTTGTACGATTCTCATTCTTTGGTCGCGTCGCTTTCTCAGATTATAGATCGTCAAATATAGCACAATGTCCGCAGGTGGAACCCCTTGTGCCTAGCCAGAAGAGCGCCGCGCTGGCAAAAATGGAGGATTACCTTGTGTCGGACAAGTTCCGCAACGAGACTGTTGCGCGTATGTCTGGGGCTATCCAGATCCCCACCCAATCTTATGACGATATGGGTGATGTGAACGAGGATGAACGCTGGAATATCTTCTACGATTTGGCGGCTTATCTCGAGAAGACTTTCCCCCTCGTTCACAACAACTTGAAACTAGAGCATATAAACGAGCATGGCTTGCTATTCACTTGGGAGGGCGACAAAACTTTGAAGCCCACGGTGCTGATGGCACATCAAGATGTCGTTCCAGTCGCCGTACCGACCTGGGATCAATGGACGCATCCCCCCTTCTCTGGCCACTACGACGGGAAGTACATTTGGGGTCGGGGTGCGTCGGATTGTAAAAACACTTTGATTGGCATTTTGGAAGCCGTAGAAATGCTCATCCACGCCGGATTCGAGCCGAAGAGAACTCTGGTGCTTTCATTTGGCTTTGATGAAGAGATATCTGGCAGACGGGGGGCCGGTCATCTTGCATCTGTCCTGATTGAGCGCTATGGAAAAGATGGTGCTGCTATCATTGTAGATGAGGGTTCGGGCATAACCTCCGCTTGGGGCAGCACATTCGCCCTTCCAGGCGTTGGCGAAAAGGGCTACCTTGATGTTGAAATAATAGTACGTCATGATGCATTCCCGCACAGGTTGTCTCCTAGCTTGTCACGGATGACTAACCAGACTTATGATCGCAGGTTCGTATGCCTGGTGGACGTAAGCAACCTCTGCCGTTAATTCCAAATTCAAATGCCGGTGTCTCAACAAGATGATGGATCAACTCGAAGCCGAGTGTTACTCGGCGACATCTCCAATACTGCCTTTTTCTTAATTGACTTGATGGAGCATATACTGACTCCATTCTTATAGATTCCTCCGTTCCACCCGCCCACAATGGTATTGGCGTCATGTCGGAGCTCATCACATTGATCGAGGCCGATCCTTATGAGCCGCACTTCCACTCGGAGAACCCATTTCTTGGCCTCTTACAATGTGGTGCCGCGCATAGCCCGGAATTTCCTAGTAAACTAAAGAAGCTTCTCCCATCACACCAGGAAAGAGTTTGTGGGAAAAAGGACAAGCTCGCTCAGGAAGCATCCAAGCTAGGCGATGAGATCAAATACCTCTTTACTACATCTGCAGCTCCTGATATCATTGAAGGGGGTGTGAAGGTCAACGCTCTTCCGGAACGCACCAGGTTGGTCGTCAATCACCGAGTCAACGTTGGAGACTCCTCAAGTGTTGTGAAAGACAAATTGACCAAGTTGGCAACTATTGTCGCCAAGAAATATAATCTAACAGTCAATGCATTTAGTGATGAGAGTGAGACGCCCAGGTCCATCACGCTCAGCACCGGAACTATCCTAGAACCTGCACCTGTCACGCCAACGCTGGTTGGGAAGACACCGTACTCTATCTTGTCTGGCACGACTCGCGCGATGTATGGAGAGAACCTTATAATGGCTCCAGGAATAATGACTGGCAACACCGACACAAGATACTACTGGGACTTGACGAAACATATATTCAGATTCATTCCCGGCTGGGACCCTGAACAGAATTTCATGGACGGTATTCATACGGTGGATGAAAAGGTTGGGGTCATCGGGCATATCCGAAACGTTCAGGTAAGCAAACCTCGCACCATACTTATGTCATTCTCGGCTGTCTTGGCAATCTCAATGCAAGAACTTGACCATTGGCGCGGATCGATTTTGGTTTCGCTGCCTTACAAGTTTATCTCACTCTTCCTGTATTAGTATTCAACCACTGACTTCAAACACTGTAGTGGTTTAGCTCTTTCATTCGAAATATGGACGAGGCAGACCTGGAATAGAGCCAATATCTAAGTATAAATGGACGAGTCTGTGCTCTCACAAAACGAATAAAAAACGATTGCCCCCTGGTAAGGCATCCGAGCTCACAAAGAATAAGCCTTTTGCGAATCATGCTCATATCTATGCAAAAGTTAAAATATTGTGTTATCAAGTATTTCTTTAGCTGTGACCTTGGTCTCTAACTATTCTCGTCGTTGTCTTTCCGTCGTGCTCTCGGTGAGCCTGCATTGTCCCCTGACAGAGTATAAGGTTCGCGATATACATCATTATATTCACGCGAGCTGAAGCCACCACGGCTGTCATCTCCATTTAATCTTAATTTGTTATATCAGCTTGTAAAGACTGGAAACCCTAAAGGAGGTTTGGAACGCGGCCGTTATGGGGTTCTGCTTCAGGTCTCATGATCTCAGTTGAGGAGACGTACAGCATCAAAATCCTAGGACCACAATGCTAATCGACGGAGTTCACTAGAGTGCTCATTGATATTATTGATCATGGGGCTGGTATCATTAATATAACCTCACAAAAGCATTCGGTTGCTGATTGGCGGAGGATGTCACTGAAGCATCACTACCCCTGCGATTGGCGCATAAACTCAACCACGCCGGCTTCTGGGGTTACATATAAATCAGCTAAGGCTCCGAATCGCCGATACATATACGTCCAACCCGGATTTCTGACGTCTCGGCTCTTCCCTTCCCCACATTGTCCTGCAGACGGAACCAGTGACTGTAATGCCAAGGCGCATGAACCTGGTGTGCCTTCTCAATAGGGGCAATTTACCTACGGAGGCTCTTGTGCCTAGCTGACAGTTGCATGCCTTATATCTCCTTTCACGGATGCTTGAAAGGTCCGTCGGATATAATACAAATGATAAAAGACGCTCAGGATCTGCCAGGTGTATGTAGATCAAATCTGGTAAACCATCCCTAAAATTCCCATAGAATACAGAACAAAATCCAACCATGAAATTACTTGCAGGTCTTCTGAGCTCCGCGGCTCTCGTTGCAGCCCATGGTTATGTGGATAATGCGACAATCGGAGGACAGTATTATCAGGTAAAATCTGTCTCAGTCGCTAAAGGATGAAGACATTGATAAAAATATTTTAGTTCTACCAACCGTACACCGACCCATATTACAGCACCCCCGTAAGCAACCGCCAGCGATGAGTTAATCGTACATCGTAGCTCATGTTTATTGCAGCCAGCTAGGATCTCGAGGGCTATCCCTGGGAATGGTGAGTTGAAATCACACTTCTATTCCTTCTGATTCGCACAACTAAAAATTTCAGGACCCGTTCAGGATGTCACGTTGATCGACCTTCAGTGCAATGGATATACAGATGGAGGAGTCATTGGATCCTCGCCCGCTCCGCTCCATGCCACTGCTGCTGCCGGTTCAACCGTCAATTTGAGATGGACCTTATGGCCCGACTCCCATGTTGGCCCAGTAATCACATATATGGCCCGTTGTCCAGATACTGGTTGTCAAGATTGGTTGCCGGGTACATCGTAAGAGTTTCGGTATCAACCAACCCTAAAAGATACTAATGGTACATAGTGCTGTTTGGTTCAAGGTCAAGGAGCTCGGAAGGACTGGAACAAGCAACACATGGGGCGACGTAAGTCCATACTCTGATACGTCGCGGAGTTAAACTAATACTTCATATATAGTCCAGCCTCATGGTTGGCGGCAACTCTGGAACTGATTATACTATCCCATCATGCTTGAAGAAAGGATTCTACCTTGTTCGACATGAGATTATTGCGCTACACGCCTCCTATGCTTACCCAGGAGCGCAGTTCTATCCTGGTTGCCATCAATTGAATGTAACTGGTAGTGGCTCAACTGTGCCTAGCAGCCTGGTTGCCTTTCCGGGTGCCTACAAAGGCTCAGACGCTGGTATCACATACGATGCTTACAAGGGTGAGGAGTTAATTGAGCTACATTGTTGACCTGTACGAAAGCTAATTTTTCCAGCGCAAACTTACACGATTCCAGGACCTGCGGTGTTCACCTGCTAATATTTCACGCCACGAAGAAGTAAGCAGACTTTTCCTAGAGAGAAAGCCAAGAAAGGTACCTAGGTTAGTCGTTATATCGAGAGAGTATTCATGTACACAGTTTTCTTCACCAAGTTGTAGCGTATATGACAACACGATTACCCTCGTTCTTCAGATGCGCCGGTAACAAGTAGTAGACGAGGAAGTCCAGTGAAGTAACATGCTTTAACGCAGGAAGAATTGTTATGGATCCTGGTCGGCTAGACCGCGTATTAACCAGAGTCGCTCAGACGGTTGATTAACACTCGGCGGTTTGTGACCGAGATAGACAATTATTTGTGGCTGGAAATTACTCTTGTCCATCTTCACTACGGCAGCCGCTCTTGCCTTGCGGACGATTGCAATGACACTAAAGCACTTGCATACTTTATTTTGACTGCGGCTTTCTTGAAAAGCCGTCGTCAAACTGGAAGCGACGACTTCGTGAGATGCAAGCATGTTAACCATACTTTGAGAAACCGTAGATCTGGGCCCGAATTAACTCACAAGCACCCCTAATTTTAGCACCGCATTAGCGACATCCCTGCTAAAGCAGGACGTGCCTTGCAGCTGTCTTCGATTGCGGGGTCAGAAATTTTCTAGCTATTCGTCCCCCACCATCTCGAGCTCGTAGGTACACTGTTTTCCTTCCCCGAAAGAGTCACCATCAGCACTTTGTGTATTGGAAAGCCGGGACGCCTGCAAGGCACTCACAACTCGCCCAACAACAGCCCAAGATGGACATTGACGCAAGCTCACCGGATGATGACCCTATTATCTCCTCCTACAACGTCTTCATCAAACCCGCCCTGCCGGCGCATAAACGCCTCCTCGTGCTGCAACATCCCAACCGCATCGACGGCAAGAAAGCATGGCGCCCGCCCACCGAGGTGCGCGTAAAGCCCGGCTCGGGCATGATCGAGGTCGACTTCCCCATGGACCACTCGCAGTGCTACGACAAGACCAAGGGTGTCGCCTGGGGCAGCGCGCTGCAGAAGTCGACGGCGCAGAAGAGCGGCGGCAGTCACGGCCTGGCGGGCGGCTTCGGAGTCGGGGCGCCTGTACGCACGCGAGGCCGAGGCGCCGCCGGAGACGACGACAACATAGATTGGGCGGAGGCGCTGCGGCAAGATCGCGTGCTGCGGACACAGACCCTCGGCGGACAGTGTCCTGAGACGAAGGACTGCAGGTATATGGTTGGCATTTTCCAGGGAGGTGAGTGTGGCACAAGATGTTATCACTAGTAGAAGCGAAAGTTGACAAGCGACAGATAACATCCACCTCACTCCGGTTACGTCTCTTGTTCACTTGCGACCACAACTACATCACATCGACGCAGCTGCGGAGCAGGAAAAACTGAACAGGCCTCGCGAAGGGCCAGGAGTCGGCGCTGGACCACCAGCGGGCGGGAAGGATGGCACTGCCCGCGCTATTCACATGACTATTAAATCCGCCGGCGCCGAGGGCGAGCAAGTTGTCACAGAGACCATGGCTGACCGATTACGACTGGTACAGTCCGAGAGTTGGCAGCGGATGGTCTACGTGGATGATCAAGATCAAAGTGCTTGGGATGCATACTACGGTACTCTAGTTGTCCGACCAGAAGGGCAGGATGCAGTCGAGGGCGATGGCGCCAATCCTAATTTAGAGGAGCAGGTTCCCCAGCTGGGCACTCAATGGGTTGAGGACGATCTTCTGCGTGCGGTGAGTGGGATTGAGAAGGTCGAGATCAAAGAGGAGGTAGATGAGCCTACTAAGGTGGTCGAGAAGAAAAAGCCCGGAAGGCCCAAGGGGTCAACTACAGCATCGAAGAAGGCGGCCGCAAAAGGTAAAGCGCCTGCTGCTTGAGCCGGGCCTAAATGATAACGAGTGCTCCCGGCCCGTGTTACGGACTTTTCAAAGGATGTTGGGACGAAGGACAAACATTGCATGGTTCGGCGTTGGGGATGGCTTCCACATGGACATATTAAAAAGAATCCTGCTTGTTAATGAAGATGGCATAGCCAGTCCGCATTTGATACCCTGCTCTGATCAAATTGATCATAGTCTACTCAGTACATTGAAGGTATTTCCCATACGACCTCATCTACCCCATGACCATGCTTGCTTGGTGTTATGCAGTACATAGATTTTTCAAACCCCCAACTCGCTGATCCACCAAGCACTCCGGATGATCTCAGTAGCGAGGATTACTACTGATCCGATTATATCTATACCACTCTGGCCCCAATGATTTTTGCACGAAGCAGTTCTCATTAGTCGTTTCAACCCACCATTCATTATTCGAAGTTAAATGTTATTCGACCATGGCTTACCAGCGCCGACTCGTCACGCCGACCATCAAAGTCATGAAACTGACCTAGAATTGATCTTCCCAAATATTATGTCGCAATACAAAGGTGACGGCAACGTCCACCTGTTGGTATTGAGAGTCCGCTTAGCCTAACAATTCAACATCGAGCCCGATGGATCGCATGAATAGATTCACGTTTGAAAGACGCTGTGCCGACAGGTCGGGGGGGAGCGATTTAGCAATCGCTACAGTCTCCATGACCCGATCTTTGACACCAAGAACGAGACGCTGCTGCTGGTCGGGATTGGCTCCTATGCCGAGCGCCGCCAGAAGCTGCCATACGTAAACATCTTCTCCGGAGATGACGGTTCCCGGGAAAATATGTGGCAGTGACGGCTCAATAATGTTGAAGAAATTGGTGTAAGTGCTTTCCCTGTAATACTGTTAGCTCTTGTCGGCTCCGTTGCTAATGCGTACATACCACATCTTCCAGGATTGTTCATTGCCGCCACCAGATTGTCTGATGATCTCGGCGCGGCTGAGGATCATGGTCAAGACTGATACGCCGATACGCGTCTTGGCAATCAGATCAACATTCAAAGTAGAAATGAGTCCCAAAACTCCTGAGACGATATCCAAATCAAGTTCGCTCATGAAATTGAACAAGGTCTGAACTACGGCTAGGGAGAACAACTCGATATTCTCCCGCATTGCAGCGTTGAGGCTTATCTGCCCCTCTGTGATTGAGGCCTTACGAATCACATCCAGTTGATCCAGGTGAACAATGATCATCGTCAAGATGGTGGTTCGCTGCTCGTGGGTGGTGTGGCGGAAAACACGAGGAATGGCCTTCTTGCCTTTGGCAAAGGTGAGGAAAGCGATGAATGGATGAACAGGAGTTGCGCCAAGCGGCTCATGCACCTTGAGCTCCCGCCATAATTGTGAGTTGAGCCTTTGGGCAGCATCTCCCCACTCAACATGCTCTTGGATTAGGTTGGTATCAGATTCGTCCTTCACTGGTGGCGGCATTTTGCGATCATGATCCTCCATCTTCATCAAGGTGCTATAGACCTTTTCGATATCCTGGAGCACAGTCTTCCTATCGATCCCGGCTTCATTGGCATGGGTCTTATGGCGATGAACGTCGCCACTCTCAGAACGCTTTATATTCAGAAGTGGCTTAGGGGTCTTCGCGTTGCTGAATGAAATCTTTCCCAGACTACCCTCAATGACCAGCTGAGAGTTCTTGGGCTTGTTCTTCGCTGCCTCGACAGCACGCTGGACTTGCTGTTCCATTCGCTGCATATGGTTCTCGGCACCCCGATTGTAACGTCTCGGGCCATTGTGTCGACTTCCAGTCTGGTAGAGGTAAGTCTGAGCGAAATTGTTCAGCGGCTGGCTAGGGTGCTGTCGTTGTCCTCCACGGATCTGATTGTGAACCTGGTAATAAAAGTCTTCGGCAAGAGCTTCATCAGTACCATGATCATTCGGGTTTCCAGTAGCAGACACGAGCTGTTGAAGCTGGATTCGAGTTACAAAATTCTTGTCCTGAGGTGTCATGATGCCATTATCCCGCGACAGAAGGTAGATCTTATGATTTCTCTTTGCACGTTTTGCTTCCTGCTCGAGATATGCAGCCTTCTCTTCTTCGGATAGTTGGGAGACTTGAGACGGATGGGTGATGATTGGGGTTTGCCGTGAAACCGAATTCTGTTGTCGGTGCGTCGGATGTGTCGGAACACCTATGCGGGCAGCATCACCCGACAAGCGATTTGGATTTTGCAAAATCTGCGTGGGCTGAACAGGTGGAGCAGCTTGCTGTCGCGATTGACCCATAGGACTGCCAGGCTGAGGCGCCGGTGGTGGTGGCTGCTTCGACTTCGATTGAGGTCTCTGCAAGATTGTCACTGGATGACCATGTCCATGAGGTTGAGCGGCCTCGGGTGGGGGAGGGCCTTGAGACTCCGGGCGTTGAGCGTAATAATCCGTAGTTTGGTAGTGGTGCGTTTGCTGGGATTGAACACGGGGTTGCGAAGGAGCTGTGCTCAACGGCTGAGTATCAGATTGCTTCTTTGGTTGAGACTGGGCTCTCATAGCAGCCTCAACTTCTTCGAGGCTCATCATCTTTCGGCTAGCAGCGACCGGCACTTGTTGAGGCTGGCTGACTGGCACAGGAGCCGGTACAGTGGGCTTCTTTGGCGCAACGCCCCAAAGAGCGGCATCAACCTGAAGATCCATTCCCGGCTCGGGACCCTTGTATTTCTCATACCCAGTACGCGCAGGTTGGGAGACATATTGGGGGGCATAATGGTACGAAGAACTCCCCGCGTGGACAGCTGGCCCAGATGGAACAGCTCTCGAGGCTGGCTGCTGGCGATTGAATCGCAGATGCTCCTCCTCGATTGCATTGGCCACCTTCGCTGTCTGGCCAAAGAAGTCAAAGTCTTTGCCAACTGAACCAGGCGCCGGTCCACCACCGCCACCACTGCCACCGCCGCCGCCGCCAAATGTATCGTCGTTGAATGCGTCGTCAGTTTCGTCTAATTGATCGCCGAGGCCATCATAAGTCTCTTCAAAGTCCATTCCATCATCTGCATTATCGTTGCGATTCGAGAGACCGGCCCAAGGATCATGAGCCTGAGAAAATCCGGGTGCAGCCTGGTTATGGTGCGAAGGATCGAGATTGAAGAAAGACATTTTCAAGGATGATAGGCTTCGAAGCCAATAGTGCTCGAACTAGAGGTAGTCTGAGAAACGGATCAGTAATGAGACCAATAGCATACTGAAGTAGATATTAGGCAATGATAGAAAACACGAAATTCAAAAGATCCACCAAATACAATGCCTTCGTGAAAGAAAGTTGAACGTTGCCAGTAAAATCCTTATGATTATAATATTCATACAAAGCAAGAAGCTCCAAAGCTAAGCATGATGTAGGGACATGGCTGACCGAATCTAGAAATCCGAGTAGTCGGCGGGGTCGCAAGTATCCAAGCTTCCAAGTGGAGGCGAGAACTATTTGCAGCCCAGGCTTGAAGCGACGGAATACTGGGATATTGAAAAAGAGGCGGGTGTCTAGAGAATTGATCAAGTACTCACAAGCTAGGAAAATTCGTGTTTCGTGATCTCAGCGTTGCCAGTCTCTATCATGATGCTGTGGTTCCCGGTGGAAAATGATGCAAGGCGTTTCCGAAGACCGGCCAGAGGCGAGTCGCAAGGAGCAGGGAGCTGCAGGATCCCAATATGAAGATATTTGAGATACGTGCACAGCTTCCTATCACCAATCAAGGCAGGAATAGAGCTATCACCGAGCTGAGCGTGGCGTGACAAGGTGAGGTCGCGAAGGGCTTTGTGGTGGGAAGAGGTCAACACGGACGTCAGGACAAAGTCGATGTCGAAATGGAGGCACAATTCGCATCTGGAAAGTGGGTTGCGACGGTTGCTTCCTAGCCAATAAGCGGCTGCATCGAATGCCTTATCACGTGCTCTTTCACATGACCGATTTCTCACCCTCGGAATAAACCATAGGTGGCCGCTTTCATTCTCATCCCTTGCGGCTTTCCTCTTTCGTTCGTACATGCAAAAGAAAGGGAAGTGGTGTCATCAGGGCTACTGGAACAAGCGTATCATCTTTCTTCACTCAGCCATTCCTTTCATTGAGAGATTTACAACTTCAATATGATGATAGAACGTGATGACTTGATAGTTGATGGAGGAGGGTTATACAATAGACAATTCTAGTGACACTGCCAAGACTGATTGACTTTGATTTGGTACCCGGGAGTGGTGTAGGGCCACGAGCCTGTAAGACTACCTAGGTAAGTACCTAGCAGGCCTAACTACCTACTGCATAGTAGGTGCGGTTCGACGGTTCCCGCAACCAGGACCAGGCCGGGCGCGCATCGAGGTGGGGGACTTACCTCGACCTGGACCACAGGGGGGCGATCTGACCTGTCTAAAAGGAGACTGCGATTTTAAGGAGTCTAGACTAAAAGACAGAAACACATAAGACAATACGCGGCCACTCATTCCGACTGAGGGGCAAGCAAGAAACATAGGAAAACATGAGACAGTCTTTACGTGCTGTTTTGGCTGGAGAGGTGAGCTGGCGAAATTTGTCTTAGCTTACAGTACAATGAGACTTGTGCGATGAATGAAGAATTGAAGATCCCCGTCATGGTACAGTATTTCTTATGCAAGGCAGATTGGCCACGCTTCAATACGAGAGAGCTTTTACGAGATGCACAAGGTCAACCCAGCAGATCAAGGACGCGCCAAGGTACCCAGCAAAAGTCCACAGCGTCACCCTGGGCCAGCCTGACAAGCCTGGCTTCCAAGGTAGGCTTCGACGCAGCTACAGAGAACTGAGGAGATGTAATGCATGGGATTCGCGGAGAATCCAAGGGCAAGGGCGGTGCAGTTGTTCTGGATTCCTGCGCCTAGAAAACGGAAGGCATGCCAGCCCGCTGATTGAGACAAGGGGATTTCCATTAGTAGACACCTGAATAGCAGCCCGGCTGGGCGGTTCGATAAGGTTGAGGTGTCTGTATCGTGGCGTGCGTGGTATCGTCGAGCCGTCATCTTAGCAGCAACTCGCCTAACTCGCACCTAATTTTGGTAACTGATACATGCTAACCCTTCGGGTCATCCCTGTCCGCCTCCATTTTTTTAGGGAGCGGAAACAATTGCTCTTTAGATTTGTCTTGACTGACGCGGCACCATCACCCTTTTCCCCCTTCCTGATTCCTATTCCTCTTCATCCGCCATCTTCGAGAGTGTCTTCACTTCTTCTTCCCTCCTTTGAACAGATATTCGGTGCCTGTTGTCCTCGGCCGGCGATCAGGGACTGAGTTCTTACGGGAGGCCAATGAACTGAGCAGCTCTGACCTACGTCCATCTGCACCTGTTCTGTCCCTTGCGCTCGCTGCTGCACAGATTAAGCTTTGGGGCGGCCGCGATTCCCCTATACCTACCTACGGAACCATCGAGCTCTACGACCGAACCCCTTTCCTCGTATTGCAGCTCGTCAACGGCTCAACCATCTTGACACTTTACCAACTTTAATCGCTCTTTACCGACCTCGTTCATTCGAGGCCTTTTAATCATGGCGGCCGGAAGCGCACGATACGTGCGATACATTCTCATTGCCTTCTTTGTACGTCTCGAATTCTGCCACTTTAGCGTTTCTTGACCCTGCATGCAACTCTTTTGGGTATGCTTATGAGTCGTATCGCTAACGCATGGAAATAGGTTGTAGCCCTGCTCTTCTGGATCTCCCGCTCAGACTACAATGCGATCCCTCGAACACCTATAGACTTTACAGACGGGGGAAAGACAAGCACTGGCGATGGTAGCAAGCCCGTCGATAAACCTGTCGACAAGCCATATAGCCCTGCTAAATCAAGCGGAGGCGACGCCACTGAACACCCTCTCGTGACCACACCTGGCGAGCCAGAGTGGGAGGATTTGGTCAGCCTCGCACCCGGTCCGAGAATGAATGCCACCTTTGTTACGCTCGCCCGTAACTCTGACGTCTGGGAGATTGCTCGATCGATCCGACAGATTGAGGACCGCTTTAATCGCCGCTACAACTACGACTGGGTATTCCTCAACGACAAGCCTTTCGACGCGACCTTTAAGAAAGTCACATCGTCACTCGTGTCTGGAAAAACTCACTATGGCGAGATCCCCAAGGAGCACTGGTCTTTCCCGCCGCACATTGATCAAGAGAAGGCGAAGAAGGTTCGTGAGGACATGGCTGAGCGTAAGATCATCTATGGCGACTCCGTTTCCTACAGACACATGTGCCGATTCGAGTCCGGTTTCTTCTTCCGTCAACCTGCGATGATGAACTACGACTACTACTGGCGTGTGGAACCGAGCGTCGAGCTCTTCTGCGACATTCACTACGATCCTTTCCGCTACATGCATGAGAACAACAAGAAGTACAGCTTTGTGCTCAGCCTGTACGAGTACGTCGAGACCATCCCTACGCTCTGGGATTCGACGAAGAAGTTCATGAAGAACCACCCCGAGCATATCGTGGAAGACAACTCTATGGGTTTCCTCAGTGACGATGGTGGTGAGAACTACAATCACTGTCATTTCGTAAGTTTCGCCTCTCCGCTCTTCAACAATTGCCAGACTTACATGTATCGTAGTGGTCCAACTTCGAGGTCGGTAGCTTGAACTGGCTACGTTCCCAGGCGTATACCGATTACTTCGAGTCTCTCGACCAGGATGGTGGTTTCTTCTACGAGCGATGGGGTGATGCTCCTGTCCATTCCATCGCCGCTGGATTGATGTTGAAGAAGGATGAGATCCACTTCTTCAATGATATTGCTTACTACCACGTCCCATTCACACACTGCCCCACAGGCGAGAAGCTGCGCACCCAACTGCGCTGCCACTGCAACCCCAAGGACAACTTTGACTGGAAGGGATACTCTTGTAAGTGTTTCGTGTCTCTCTGTCCCCAGACTCGTATTGACATAGTTTCTTAGGCACTTCAAGATATTTTGAGATTAACGGTCTGGAGAAGCCGGAGGGATGGGAGAACCAACAAGACTAGAGACATCGATGAATAACGTCCCTGGTCTACCTTGTATTGCATACTTAGCTAATTCGGCTTCAACTGCTCGGTGTACGCAGTCGACATTGGTTCCTTGGAGGGTAAAAAGGTGCGGCGTACGGGCTCTTAAGCATTGGTTAACAGGCAGTGAGACGGTGATGTGTAAATATGATAAACAACAAGACACCGTGCTATGGTATTGGGCGCTCTTGACCCTGCCTCTTCGTGATGTCATTTACAATATAGTTACAAGTTCTAGAGTCTTCAAGATCCAGTACAATTATGCCCTTGTTCGTAATGATCTTGTCTCCACGAGCACTCCCCTCCTGCCTTGTCCCGAACTCTTAACTTAGCCAACAGATGCCTTCTTAGGCTTCTTCGTCCCGTACTTGCTTCTACTGCTGACTCGGTTTGTCACGCCGCCCAAGTCCATCGCTCCTCGCACCAAGTGGTATCGCACACCGGGACAATCTTGGGCACGGCCTCCGCGAACCAGCACCACGCTGTGCTGCTGGATATTGTGACCCTCGCCGGGAATGTAGGCGGTGATTTGCTTGCCAGACGACAGACGCACACGCGCCGTCTTTCGCTCGCCAGAGTTGGGCTTCTTCGGCCGCACGATACCGACCTTGAGGCAGACGCCCTTCATCGACGGGGCGCGTTTCTCGGAGAGCGCAGGGGAGACAGCGTGCCGCGCACGTTGGGGTTTTCGGCACCCCTGTCAATCAATTGGTCAGAGAAGGTTATCATATGAGGTACCAACATGGCCAGGAGGTCTTGTAGACATACTCGGAGCACCTGATTGAGGGTAGCATTCTGGACGGGTGTGGAGGAAAAGGAGCGCTTGGGAGGTAGCTCTGCCTTTGACGGTAGGACAGAAGGAAAAGATCGTATTGGCAGCCGTATTGACGGCGCCAAAAGATGTCGAAGAAGCGGCATCGACATCTTGTTGGAGGTACAGCTCTCAACAAGTCTCAACTGCAACTCCCGGGCTTGCTTCGCGCCAGTTGAAGCTCCTGTCTTCGACTTTTTTGGGGTCAGTCAATATGTCACGTGGAGAGTGGCCCGTGCACCTTCCAGTTGTCGGTTCCTTTCACATGCCCCAGACTCCGTGACGTACCCCTGAAGACCGCCCGCTTCAGGCCATTCACTCCGCTAGCAGTTTCCCCAGGGAGAGATTTAGTGGGCGGGATGGTTATCCTCGGCAGAAGCGAACGCCGCTTATAACACCGCTTATAGTCAACCGCGGAGAGGAATGAGGTGGGATTTCACAGCTTTACAAGTAATTGTCCTGCTTCGCTTTTCGTCGGTGCGATTGTCCGATCGTCGGTAGCTCCAGAAGGCATATTATAGCATTTGAAGAGTCGAACTCACGCTCAATTCGAAGTCCTCCTTCCCCCAAGAGCTCCGTGTGCTGTGGTGCCGAGGTGTAAGACTGAGCCACGATGTCCTCCCTCGCACGAGTCCTCCGACCGGCTGTTCGGAAGAGCCAAGGTGCCCTCGCGGGCCTGGCTGCTTCACCTCGAATATACCGTCCTGTTCGCGGCTTGCCAAGGATACAAGAGTATATCAATTTGCTACAGTTATTTCCTAAGGTCACGACTAACACGATTCCAGCGCCGTCCGGCCCTTATCCACAACACCTCGGCTACGCTCCGCCGACATCAGCGACATCCCTCCCACGCCAATCACACACCTGTCTGAGCTCGAGGCTGCTATGCAAGATTCGGTGCAGAAATTTGCTAACGATGTGATTCTACCCAAGGTTCGGGACATGGACGAGGCGGAGGCCATGGATCCAACAATCGTGGAGCAGCTTTTCGAGCAGGGACTGATGGGCATTGAGATCCCGGAAGAGTTCGGCGGCGCCGGCATGAACTTCACGGCGGCAATTCTCGCCATTGAGGAGCTCGCTCGCGTTGACCCTTCGGTCAGCGTCATGGTGGATGTTCACAACACGCTCGTCAACACGGCTATTCTGAAGCACGCTAGCAAGGACCTACAGAAGCGCTTCCTACCGAAGCTGGCCACCGGCACCGTGGGTTCCTTCTGCTTATCCGAGCCCGTTTCCGGATCCGACGCTTTCGCGCTTGCCACCAAGGCGACTGAGACTGCAGAGGGCTTCAAGATCTCGGGCTCTAAGATGTGGATCACCAACTCCATGGAGGCTGACTTCTTCATTGTCTTCGCCAACCTCGATCCCAGCAAGGGATACCGAGGCATCACGGCTTTCATTGTTGAGAAAGACATGAAGGGCTTCTCTATCGCGAAGAAGGAGAAGAAGCTCGGTATCAGGGCAAGCAGCACATGTGTTATTAACTTCGATGACGTTGTTGTTCCCAAAGAGAATCTCCTTGGAGAGAAGGGCCACGGTTACAAGTATGCCATCAGCCTTCTCAACGAGGGCAGAATAGGCATTGCCGCCCAGATGACCGGTCTTGCTCTTGGCGCATGGGAGAACGCCGTCAAGTATGTCTGGAACGACAGGAAGCAGTTTGGCCAGCTTGTTGGTGAGTTCCAGGGCATGCAGCACCAGATCGCACAGTCCTACACCGAGATCACCGCGGCCCGGGCTCTAGTCTTCAACGCTGCCCGGAAGAAGGAGGCTGGCGAGGACTTTGTTCGGGATGCCGCGATGGCGAAGCTGTATGCTTCGCAGGTTGCTGGCCGAGTGAGCAGCCTAGCCATCGAGTGGATGGGAGGCATGGGCTTTGTGCGAGAAGGCCTGGCCGAGAAGTTCTGGAGAGACAGCAAGATCGGAGCAATTTATGAGGGAACAAGCAACATCCAGTAAGCCTTTTTTCGACTACAAAGTACGAGCGAGAATATTAGACGCTAACCTGTCATCATAGACTAAATACCATTGCGAAGCTGTTGCAGAAGGAATACACCGCATAAACAATGCCTTTAGGTTTTCGTGCCATGGGGCTAGTGATTACCGGAGTTCATTTGGATATGTAGCATGAACTAGATAGATTCGGCTTCCAACAAGTATTGAAAAGATATATTTTCCCAAAAGCCCCGGCCCTTCGCTCAATAGTCTGCCCTCTGCCGTGTCTTTCGGTCCAACTTACTTGTCCTACGTCAAGCCAGATCCCAATGGTGCCCAAACTCCATTTTCGATGTCTTCTTTAATCTTCTCACCTATCTCGGCCGGTGCCTCCCCCAAATGATCCACCTTATCAAGCCAGGCCAACTCCTCATCAGTAGTTTGCCTACCCGTGATGCGATTACGGTATGGATAGCGCCCAAATTTCTCGATGATAGGATAATGCACATCCATCAACTTGCACATGAAAAATGCATAGTCTGCGAGTGTCACATTGTCTCCCTCCGGCGGTCCTTGCCGATACAAGAAAGGAAAAGTCGTCGTGTCAGACAATATCTCACTTCGCTTTTCCCGGTTAGGATCCGTCTTGCCTGTGGCCTCTTCCACGATCTTCCGCGTCTCCTCCATGTATGCGAGTGCAATCTTCTGGTTCTCCCGCGACTCAGAGTGCACCCACACGGCACCGAACCAGAACCGCGTTATCAGCCAGTAATCGAGCGATGCTCCGACGTCCTTTTCCCAGCGGGAAGGGGTATCAGGGCGTTGCTCCTCGGGCAGAGCGCGCAAGGCAGCGGCGAGCCGCTGGGCGATGACATCGAAGTAGCATGCACTCCACCGCGCATCAATGCCCTTGCAGAAGATGCGCGCGCCCTGGTCGAGAAGAAGCGTCAGGCCGAAACTCTGCTCCGGGAACTCGGGGCTGCTCGGCTCCGGGAGAAACGTCAGCGGATCCGGAAAGTCGTCCAAGCCGACTTTGCTCATTGCCACGAGGGCCGGCCATGCTTGCTCTTTGATGTCCGTATCAAAGTGGCATTCCTTGAACGTCTCTCTGCCGATTTGAGAGAAGTCTAGAGACTCTGCCTTGCCATGTGGAATACGAGAAGTCGCAATGTGAGTCAAGAGAGTCGGTGTGATGATGGACTTCAGGTCTTCTGCCATGATTGCTGCTCTTGATATGATACTTTGCACGCAACTTAAAGTGGGTTCTGCCTGCTTAATTAATTCATCTCACGATGCTGCATCGAAATGGAATTGTATTGCATCTTTAAGCTGGCTGATAAATAATGCACTGAAGACCGCTTTCTTACCGAATTAAGGAGGTTGTTATTTCATTGCTAGGCTTAATCAGCACTAAGCGATCCTACGTCTGTACAGCAGTAGTGGTCGGCTCTATAGGCGACAAGGCGATGACAGAAGTGTTCGAAAATGCAGAGAATCGTATATGTATCAGCCAGGCATGCTATGCGGCGCAATTATTCACGTTGAAGCACACGAATTTGAGCATACACATATTACCGTCGGCTCATTCCACACACCCTCTTAAAGTAGCGCTTGAAGAAAGGCTAACAAAGTCACCGATCGTTGGTTGACATGAATACGCAGATGTCAACTTCAAATATAAAGCAGGCACCGATGTCGCGACAGGCGATAATAGGTGCGGTGTGAGATCCTGGCAAGCATCTCACGAGAGATGGCACGTTACAAACGGCCGCCATATGAAGCTTTGACGGGTCTGCCGTAGGGCTGAACAGCTGCCGACCAATGCGAGCCCTGTCAGACTCGGCGCTCCACGATCCTCGCTTACGGGGTGCCTATCGGGGATTTCAGACTTTGAGGCTCATGCTTAAGCTCTCCAGCAGCAGCAAGACAGCTCATGTCAACTTTGGAATCTTTCATGGGCGGTCGGAAAGTGAATTCCCACATGATCGGAGAGAACATGATCTTGACAGCGGAGCATCTTTATAGCCAAGGGTTCTATCTTGAAGTTTTGTGCCTATCAACAGATGTGAACTTTGCGGAAAATATATTGGAGCTGACCAACGTTGAGAGAAAGACCATTTATCATCTTAAGAGAGGTCAAGCCGGTAGTCAACTGGCAATAGGCGTATTGAACAGAACTTTCCGGGGGTCTCCGGTCGCATACAATACGTAGCGCGGCCCAGAAGTCCCGTCACTATGACAGCAACTCACATGTCTAAATGAGGGTATGGTATATAGCGGCTGTCTTATTCCCCTGCAGGTCCGTTGCCACATGTCTGAGCTCCATACACATTAGAACAAAGTTCAACAGCAGACCAAATTAATCCATGGGGAGGGTTCCAATGACGTCAATTGACGAGATCTTAACATGGGCTCGGTGTGCCAGTCGATTCTGAAGTCTGAATAGGGGGCCGCTTGAGGCGATACGAGCTCAGAGATTGAGAGTGTCGTGATGGCGGTAGATCTGCTCTCGGGACGAGGAAGGTCAGGTCCGCATTTGTGGCTGAGCAGCGGGAGCCGCCACGAGAATGGGGGCCTAACGTGCGCTAACTCGGGTGCGAGATCTGAGAAATGGTGGCTGAGTAGGACCATTGCGAAAGCTGCAAGAGAGGAGAGAACCCCACCCTGCCACTAGAATGGCCTGACTGAGGGGCCGCGTCCCAAAAAGTCCTACGCTACGTAACTTTTTGTGTGGGCCATTTCTGAAGAGTCCATGACTGAGCTGAATGAGATGAGTGAAACTGAACACAGAGACACGCAGCCGCGAGTGCCCAACAACAGGCGTCTGTGAGACTTGAGAATATGCGCGCTGTAGCAGATAGATAGGGACTGCCAGGCTGAAGTATCTTGGAGAACCACTGAAGTGAGGCTGAAAATAAATAACATGATAGAACATGTTGGTCAACCGTCAAGCCTATCCCCCGCCAGTATTTGCCCCTCCTTTCTACGGTTATCGCCATGAGAGCAGGGCAGACTACCGGAATTTATGCTGCCAGACTGAGGTGATTTGAATGGCCGGTGAGATTGAAGGCGACAGAAAGGACATAATATCCAACAAGAAGGCACATGGCATAGAAGGCGCAGTCACACCTCTTGCTTGCCAATTGCAGCAAGACACCAGTAGAGTAGAGAAGAAAGATATAGAGCAGAGTAACACGGACACGGCTGAGTGACTGACTGACACGCTGACACTGTGCCCGCCATGCGCATTGCTGCTCATGCACGTAATTGTCATGATAATAAGAAAGAAACTGCCAGAACGTTGGTAAACGCCGCGGAGAGCCTCTGTTGCTGTCTTTCTGCTTTGTTATCCCTTTGCATACTTTGCCGCCACTAATTGCAGAGTCTCACTTGCACAGGCACACAGGTTCAAGACAAGACCGGAAACAAGGTGTACCAGCTGCGAAAAGGAGTCGACTGCACCATCTGCAAGCCGAGATCGCTATCTCGAAATCTTGGGCTCTCATTTCCCACTGCCTGCCTACCCGCCGACCATCTTGCTAGCTTCTCAGGGCTTAGGACATGGCCTTTAGAGCTGCGAAGTAGAAACCAGGGAAGCAGATATCAAGGACGGAGAAGACATTGGTATCCCGCCTCGAGACTGCAGTGCACTGCCTATCAGGACATGTAGACGCAGTGAGCAAGCCGGAGAGAGTGGGGAGAACCAGTCGGTTTAAACAAGCCAGGCTCGCCTTGCCCGGCCCTACCACCACCACCACACAGTACACAGTAACTTACCGGGGCCTCCAGCTTTTTTTTGCGAGACGCCCTGCCTGCGCTGCCTGCCTGCTTTTCCTTGGGCAAGCATCCATGCTTGCTGTGCCGAATGCGAAACACAAAAACCCCGCCATAATTCGTCACTGACGACATCTTATTACCTTACCTAACTACCTACCTACCTGACCTGCCTCTCTACCTGACCTCGCCCACCACCACCACCACCACCACCACTACTGTTAACCCACAACATCCCACCCATACACATCGTTACAGATAGGCACAAATCCCCGCCGCGCCTTTTCCTTTTCTCTTCCTCCCTTCCTCTCCTAGGCCGTTCAAACATATCTCGAGCGTACCTTTGCCGGAAACAGCGCGCGAGATCTTCCGACGGCGGCCCGTCAAAACAACCTCCCCAGCCTAGCAGGGCCGCTACAGCACGCGACTTCGTTGAGGGTGTTCAGGAACGGCTTCTGCGCGGCTGACCGCGCAGGCACAATACCGCCATCATGAACGAAGAGGAGACGCTCATGAATATCTACAAGAAGATCGAGCGCGAGAAGGCTCTGATCAATGCCGCCAACTTGATGCGACAGCAAACTAACAATGAAGCTGTTCGCTCCAAGCTCGACACCCAGATGCGGGATGGCAGGAGGAATCTTGAGTTCTTCGAGGAGAAGCTGCGCGAGCTCCAGATGCGCCGCATGGGTCAGGGCGTCGAGAACATGAGCCTGGGTTCTTCAGGCGGCGGCCCGTCTACCCCTCGCCCACATAGCGCAGACATGAGAAACGACCAGGACGGCCCGCCAACGCCTCCGCCGAAGGATGCATCGTCGTGGGGAGGGGACCGCTCGTCGTACGGCTCCGTGCAGTATAGCCAGATCGGCCAGCATGGCGACATGATGCCCCCTCGCCATCCGTACGCGGCGCCGGCGCCCTCAACTGGTGTCCCCAAGGCCAGACCCAACTTCACGAAACTGGGTTCGTCATACCTTGTATACCCTCTCCTGGCCTGACACTGACTCACACTGTTCCTAGACCTCATTAAATACGACACCCCCTATCTTGGTCCCCGAATCCAGCTCATGCTGTCCCAGATTCAGTTCAAGCTCAATGTTGAGGAACAATATCTGAAGGGAATCGAAAAGATGGTCCAGCTGTACCAGATGGAGGGTGACAAGAAGAGCCGAGCAGATGCTGCTGCTAGACGTGTCGAGAGCAAGCAAAAGATCATACTGTTGAAGCAGGCACTCAAGAGATATGAAGAACTTCATATCGACAGTGATCAGGCAGATTCTCCGGATGGTGCGCACATTACCGACCCACCTACCGAATACCCAAGACGCTAACTTGACCTCGAACAGATGATAGTATCAACATGCCGAATCTGCGTAAACCACTGACTGGACAGTTAGCGATCAGAGTAGTTGCCGTCAAGGACGTCGATCACGCACCCGCCGGCAGGTTCAGCCGTGGCCCTGAGACTTTCGTTGCGGTGAAGGTGGAAGACAACGTAGTTGCACGGACAAGAGCTTCTCGTACGGATAGATGGGATGCCGAATACCACACCATCGACGTTGACAAGGCCAACGAGATCGAGCTTACCGTCTACGATAAGCCGGGAGAACACGCAGTACCTATCGGCATGCTCTGGGTTAGAATATCTGACATTGCGGAAGAGCTGCGTAGAAAGAGGATCGAGGCGGAGATTAACACTTCAGGATGGGTGTCGGCCGATAGGATGGTCAACCCCAGGGGTCCTCCTCCGCCGCAGTTTCCAATGAGCCCCCAGCAACAGCAACAACCACAGTTCGGACCGCCGCCTACATCTCCTGGATACCAAAATGCGAATCCCATGTACCAACAGCCCCAGCCACAGCCCCAGGTTGCCTCGCAACCTATTGATGGCTGGTTTAACCTCGAGCCAACAGGTCAGATCCAGCTGAGTTTGAACTTCGTGAAGCAGGCCAAAGACCGTCGACCATTCGACCTTGGTCTCAACCGAAAGGGCGCTATCCGTCAGCGCAAAGAGGAGGTTCACGAGATGTACGGCCACAAGTTTGTTCAACGGCAGTTCTACAACATCATGCGTTGCGCGCTATGCGGCGACTTCCTCAAGTACTCAGCGGGCATGCAATGCGAGGACTGCAAGTACACTTGCCATACAAAGTGTTATACTAGTGTTGTCACGAAATGTATCAGCAAGTCAAACGCAGAAACCGACCCCGACGAAGAGAAGATCAACCATCGTATCCCCCATAGGTTTCAGCCTTTCTCGAATCTCACAGCAAATTGGTGCTGTCACTGTGGTTATCTACTTCCTTTTGGAAAGAAGAACTGCAGAAAGTGCACAGGTACGTTTTGATTCTAGATCCCGAAATGCTGCTCTACTAACAAATGCAGAATGTGGTCTTACAGCACATGCTGGATGCGTGCACTTGGTACCGGATTTCTGCGGTATGTCGATGGCTGTTGCAAACCAGATTCTCGAAGGTATTCGATCGCAAAAGCTACGGGCAAAGGAGAAGCCATCATCGCTTAGCGAACGGACCCTTCGCCAAGGCAAGATGAGCCCGACAGTCTCTCAAGCCTCAACGCTCTACGGAAGTTCGAGCCAGCTCTCATCATATGCGCCATCGACTGCATCTGCCGAGGCGACAGAGGCGGCTAAAGCAATGTACGCGAGCCAGACATCACCACAAAGACCTGCTGGACCGGATCGGACTTCTAGCTCGGCTGCCGCCGCCGCCGCTGCATCAGCTGCCATGTCCGGCACAATGGCTTCGCAGGGTTCCAAGACTTCTGGCGCACCACAAATAGGGGCCATCCCTGACTATGGTGGACGTTTTGGAGGAGGAATGTACCCTGACCAGCAGCCTGAAGATCCATATGGTGCTCAACAATACGGCAATTCCCAGCAACGCAAATACAATCCGGCTGACTATGCCAACGTGAATGCCTACCCTACCCAGCAACAAATACAGCAACAACGGCCAGCTCAAGCCCAACCAGTGCAGCAGCAACAGCAACCATATCAGCAACCCGTCCCTCAGCAGAAGCCCCAAGCACTTGATCAACAACTCGCGGCCTCGCCTACAACTCCCACAGGCGTCTCATCACCACAAAAGAAGCCTCTACCGTCCGCCACTGATCCTGGCACTGGTCAACGTATTGGTCTCGATCACTTCAACTTCCTCGCTGTTCTCGGAAAGGGTAACTTCGGAAAGGTCATGCTCGCTGAGACCAAGAGATCACGCCAGCTTTACGCCATCAAGGTGCTGAAGAAGGAGTTCATCATTGAGAACGATGAAGTCGAGAGCATTCGCTCGGAAAAGAGAGTGTTCTTGATTGCCAACCGGGAACGACACCCCTTCCTGACGAACCTTCACGCCTGCTTCCAGACGGAAACCCGTGTCTACTTCGTCATGGAGTATATCAGCGGTGGTGACCTCATGCTTCACATTCAGAGAGGTCAATTTGGTACCAAACGAGCACAGTAAGCCATTCTGCAATGCCTATACTGATGTCAATCAATTAACAGTGAAACAGGTTCTACGCCGCTGAGGTCTGCCTCGCTCTCAAGTATTTCCACGAGAACGGCGTTATCTACCGTGATCTGAAGCTCGACAACATCTTGTTGACGCTTGATGGCCATATCAAGATCGCCGATTATGGTCTTTGCAAGGAAGACATGTGGTATGGTTCAACAACTAGTACCTTCTGTGGTACCCCTGAGTTTATGGCACCAGAGGTCAGTTGCATTTGTTCGTGGGCGAAACATCATTACTAATTGGTTATAGATCTTGTTGGATAAGAAATATGGCCGGGCCGTTGACTGGTGGGCCTTTGGTGTGCTGATTTACCAGATGCTCCTGCAACAGTCACCATTCCGAGGTGAGGACGAGGATGAAATCTACGACGCTATTTTAGCGGACGAGCCGCTCTACCCGATTCATATGCCCAGAGACTCGGTTTCGATCCTACAGAAGCTGTTGACTCGGGAGCCAGATCAGCGACTGGGAAGCGGACCGACTGACGCTCAGGAAGTGATGAGTCAGCCGTTCTTCCGCAACATCAACTGGGATGATATTTATCACAAGCGGGTACAGCCCCCATTCTTGCCACAGATCAAGAGTGCAACGGATACAAGCAACTTCGATTCCGAATTTACCAGTGTTACGCCAGTCCTTACCCCAGTGCAGTCAGGTAAGCTTTATAATTCCGATGCTTTTAAAGCCATTACTGACCATGTACTAGTTTTGTCCCAGGCTATGCAGGAAGAGTTCCGTGGCTTCTCATATACTGCAGACTTTGAGTAGACGCATGAGATTGATACCAAAATGAGTTTGAAATGCGAGTATGATGGATGTGGAATGATGAAGTGAGACGTTGGTATGATTATCAGATCCGCCTTGGGCATATGGCACTCTATTATGGGTGACTTCACCAGCGGTATTCATTCAAATGGGAATTTTTGTACGCCGAGAGGCTTTTGGGATTTTGAACCCGCCCGGTCACATTCGAAATTAGGATGGATACCATCTCACTCGCTTGGGTCGACGGACGCATGAAAATGGGGACGGAATTGGTGAGCCGAATAGATGTGACTGAAGCTTGAATGTCGTCTACTGAGCGACGCATAGGCCAGATGGCCGACCTAATAGAGATGATCGATAATACAAAAGAATATTAGGGGCATATTATTCTTCCCACATATGGCGCGCTCATCGCGAAATGCTCAGTTTACAGGTCTATGTTAAATATGTACAATTCTTTACACATTGATTTGATGGCATTTGGTCCCATCCCATCATATAGATCATGACCGTCGTAGCAGTAGCACGCCTATCGCAGCCATGACCGCCGCTCCGCTGATTGCCCCTTCAATGGCAATCAGTGATGCATCTCGCATCCGCAGGTCTATCCTTCTATCGCTGTACAGATCTAACAAAGCAGGTTGCCATCTTTCTGGTGCTAACAAGAGTTCCTTCCATGATTGCCGGCTGGGTTGTTCCGCCTGGAGAACCCCTTTTCCAGCATTTGCTACCGCATCTGCGGCCCCGGGGCCAACATCCGGCACAGCTACCGGGACGCTCTGCGGAGTCTCGGCCACTTGCGTCGCCGCCAACGCGTCCCTCACATCAGCCAGCTCCTTCCGGACCTCCTCTAGGGCGCGCTTCTCCTCCGCGGCGATCCCGCGCATCAGGCGGTTCCGCTTCCACGGCTCGGCGACGAACTGCAGCATCAGGAAGAGCAGCACGTTGATCCCCATGAGGCCCCATGTCCCCCATGTGCTCTGCCGCCGGATCCTATCGCTCCACACCTGCTCCTCGTGGTACCGCCGCAATATGCCCGCATTGAGCGCCTGCGAGAGCCGCGTCTCGTCCGCCTCGGCCTCCGTCAGCGCGGCCGCTGCCTCCGCCACCTTGCCGTCCAGCTCGTGGTCTAACCGATACAGGGTGGTGAACCGCTCCAGGTCTGTGGGCGACCAGGTGTCTTTGCGCGCCAGAAGGGCCGTCACCTCGCGCTGCGTCGAAGAGCGCTGTGTGTTGACTGACTTGTAGGTCTGCCGCGCGGTCCGGAGCGTGGTCTGCGCAGTCGCCAGCTCCGCCTCGAGCTTCGCATTGGCAGCCTTGATTGCGTCAATGGCTGAGTAGCCGGTCAAGTCGTTGAGGGTCTGGGACGCGACCAGCACGCGGGACTGTAAGTTGTCCATGAACATGCTGAAGCGCTGGGATAGCGGGGAGCGGCGGGAGTCAGCGGCGGAGGGGAGCTCGGAGCGGCGATTGCTCGAGGTGGGTGTGGCATCGGGTCGTGTTACCGATCCTGGCGTTGTCGATGATGGCTCATTTGAGCTTTGAGGGGAGGTCGAGTAGAGGCGCCCTCGGGAGAAGATCGTGCAGCTGAGGCATATCGATGGTCGCTTGTATTGCCGTATATTCCAGGTGGGCTGTTGCGCATGTCGAGTAGATCTGCTCAGCTGCTCTAGAACCAGACGGGTTCCTGGCCTCAAAAGAGGCCGAGCAGCTGCAGAAGTCGGCATTGTGAGCCTTGAGAGCTACGCGGAGCAAAGTGAGGCTCGGACGGGTAATTGACTGAGCCGGCAGAAGGTTGAGGTCGGCAGTGCCGCTGCGGTGGTGAGTTCCGGCAATTCAAGAGCTCCAGTGTTTTTGCCGTGCGCCGCCGCTCTCCTCAGCTTAAGCACATCGGAAAGCCTCAATAGACGGCATAACTACGGTAACACATTATAACCATTGCTCTTGCTCGCTCAAATTTCTCGAGAATTGATTCACGGCCACAAATCTCTTAAAAAAATGTACGAAGAAATCAAAGTATATATGGCTAATTAAGGCATGCGAACTCCAGTCTCCAAAGTATCCAAGTTCAAAGTCGTACTAGGAGGTTAAAGTATCCACCCATTAATTCTGTTGACTTATACGGTACAGCTCCGCGTTGGGTTGACCTCTCAAAATAATAATATTGATGCTCAGTTCTCTGACAGTATCGCCGTCTGTCTTATCCAAAATACCACCAGTCACTGACAACTCTATCATAGCTATTTCTGATAGAGGTCTATTCTATTCAGAATTGGCCGTAAAGTAGTTCACAGCTAGCGGCTGACCGAGGCCAATCTTCTTCTCAAATTGAGGCTGATCCCACCGCATGCGAGCCATTATACCCGGTGATTCACCGAGCCCAAGGGTCTTTCGAGCCACGTCTGCGCTCATACCGTCTGGTTGTTCCCAGACCAAGAAGACATAACGATGTGGTGCTGATGGTGGCGGAGGGCCCGGTCCGGCGTAATACATGACTGATTTGCTGGTGGATTCGAAGGTGGTGAATTCCTCCAGAGCAGATCGAATAGCAATAAGATCGAACTCGATCCAATGGGCGGCTGGACCAAGGGCAGAGAATGAGGGAAAAGGTGCGTCGAGATCCAGACAAACGACAACATATTTATCGCCAGGATGCGGTTTGATGAGCGAGCTGGAGATGGAAAGCGTTGGTGTAGTCTTGGTAGCAGCACTCGAGAGCTTAACACCTGGTTCGGTTACCGCGGTGCTCTCAGAGAACTGCACTTTGAGGTTTGGCTTGTTCCCATTCTTAGAGAGCTGAGCGAGAGCAGCTTCGAAGCTTGGGCAGGCTTTCATTGTGTTTGAGGGTACGCTCTATCTGACCCCGGCGCAGAAAAGTTGAATCTTGGAGCAGTGAAGTCTGCTCTCTCTTCCTCACAAAGGTTATTTTGGTATAACTCCAGAAAATAAATGATAAATAAAGCACGGTCTCACAACGGACGGAGGGACCTCGTGGATGGAGTGAAGCGACAAATTAAGTCTCGCCTAGAACACTTGTCACTCAAGCTTCAACAACGAGTCTAATCATCTGTCCAATTAGCAAATGACAGCAATGAATTTGCCATTAGTTTGAATGATGATTTCTGTGAAAATGGGCCAGACCTAGCCCCGACGCATTCCATGCGTATAAAAATACCGTTTGTCTCACTATGAGCTAAACGCTAATAAAAGTTTGCCGAGCTCGGCACCGATACCATTGCATCTCAGGACAGGAGATAATGACAAGTGACGCCTACCTCCCTGACAGCCTACCAGGTTGGGCACCCACCCCGAGCCGGCGCCGAAATTATATCTTCAATCCACTAATATCTCCGTGTTGTCTCGTAAATCAATATCATATTAGCAAGTGCAGGGAGATTTTTATGGCTTTAGAGCCGGACTTAACCTCGAATTGTGGTTGACAAGGAGTAGCAATTCTGTCATTGTCTGGGTAGAAGCTTATTTATATTCAAAAATGATACGGCTTCAGACATCACAACATGGGTACTGGCAAAAAGGCCGACTGACACGATAGGGACAGATCCAGCGCACAAATGCCATCCGACATAGATTCTCTTCAACAACCCGAAAGGGCGCCAAGAGATGGACAGACAATACAGAATGAAGGCAAAGACAACTCAGGCGATACCAGCAACGAATCGTCGCACCCAGTACAACAGCCAGATGACCGACCTCTCCATTCCGTTTTCTCGCCTAAGATACGAGCCCTCGTCATTCTGATGACGGTTTTTGCAACGCTCTTCTCCCCATTTTCGTCCTTTGTCTACCTACCCGCCATCACCCCTATTGCTGAGGCATACCACCGGTCTTTGGGAGATATCAATCTTACAGTCACTGTCTATCAGATTATGCAGGCGATTGCTCCTTTGTTTTTCGGGGATTTGAGTGACCAGATCGGTCGACGACCAGTATATGTCCTCACATTTGCTATTTATATCGGTGCCAATATCGGACTTGCTCTTCAGCACAATTACGCTGCTCTGATGGTCCTCCGTGCCTTGCAAAGTACTGGCAGCAGTGCAACAGTGGCAATAGGTAGTGCTGTTATAGCAGACCTGACGACGAGTGCTGAAAGAGGTGGTTATATCACGGCTGTCCAGGCAAGCGTTCTGTTTGCTCCCGCTTTAGCACCTGTGCTAGGCGGTATCTTAACGCAATTCTTGGGTTGGCGATCAACGTTTTGGTTCCTTGTCATTTCAGCCGGAGTCTTCATCAGCATATACGTTCCATTTGTTCCTGAGGTTTGTAATATCCACTATGAACAAGATTCAATAAAAAACAGTTAATTGACTTGAATCATGAGATAGACTGCGAGAAATATTGTCGGCAATGGGTCGATTCCTCCGCCTAGACTAAACGCCTCCATTACTTCAACCATGCAATGGCGCCACAAGAAACGAGATATTGAATCAAATCCACAGGGGTCGACGATCCCCGAACCACGAAAATTGCCACTAAAGGTTCCAATCCCAGATATCTTTGCAGCTATTCGTATCATTTTCGAAAAAGATGTTGGCCTGCTCATGTTGTTCATGTCCCTCCTCGTTATGGCAAATTTCGCGGTAATGATACCTCTACAAGATGTTATCCGTCGACGGTATAATTTCAACGATCTTCAAGTCGGCTTATGCTATATACCCTTTGCTTCTGGGTCAGTGTTTGGGTCCATCATTGTTGGCAAGCTACTGAATTGGAACTATGTGCGTGTTGCAAAGACAGTTGGAGTCTCTGCAGATCGTAAAAGGGGTGAAGATCTGCGAAAGTTCCCAATTGAGAAGGCGAGGCTGGATCTGATTTGGCCATTTGTTGGTATTGCAGTCATTACCATCGCAATTTGGGGTTGGGTTGTCACTTCAGGGACAAGTCTCGCAGCTCCCTTGGTGGTCATATTCTTCGCAGGTCTAGGGCTCGCTGGGCCAGTCTCTATCCTCACAACACTGCTAGTCGACCTTTACCCTATGAATCCAGGTAGGGTGTCGTCTTCATTCAATTTGACGAGGGCGGCGTTAAGCGCCATTGGTTCAGCAGTGATCCAGTATATTATCGACGCCTGGGGTTATGGATTTACATATCTCTTCATGGCGCTGCTGGTACTAGCGGCAAGTCCTATTGTATTCGTCGTGAGGAAATGGGGCCCTCAGTGGAGAGAAGAGAGGTTCCAACGATTTGACTTGTCTGCGAATCGAAGATAGAGACTGCTTTAGGAAGAATTCTCTCGCTGTTCTGCCTGCAGAGCTCGAGGAAGCAATGATTATCTTTCGCTCATATCTCTGACACTGTTGCCTTGTGACTATCTGTAGTGCCTGTTGTCGAGTTGTAGTCCCGTACTCTAAGAACTCCGAAGTGAGACATTCCAGTATCGTGCATATCTGATCGTTGAGGTCTCATCTGCTCAAGTCGAGCGATAGATCAGTCAGCTGCTAGGCTCTATATCTCCATGGATCCTCTCCACGATAAACGTTTTTATTCGGCAAGAATGGATTTGCCCAGGGATCTGAATCTGCCTGAGGACTTGGGCCAGGACTTCTCCCATAACCGGGCGAGGGAAATCCAAATGAATCTATGGGTGGTGATGGATATGGAGGGCTCATATAAGGGGGCGGAACTCCATATTGGGGACCTGTAGGCACGCGGCCAACTCTAGGTGCTTGTTGTGGTACACCATACGGTGCTGGTCCTGGTCTTGAACGATGATTGTTGCTGTGTCGAACATGATCTGGAACGGCTTGGGGTGCATTGGGAACTGGCTGAGGAATATGTCCAGGGGCAGCCGCTGGCGATTCGACGTGATCTTCTGCTGGCCGGTTTGCTAGTCTGTTGAGATCTTGTATGGCTACTCGAATATGAAAGAGTGGCATCCCTTCTTTATATTCCCGAAACATCGACATTTGGTATCTTATCTCCCCATCTTCATCTGACGCAAACTTGACCTTTTCCGCCATTTCCCTGATGGGTAGCCTTTCTTCGGCATCCAAGTTCCATTTGAGTACTTGTTTACGGAGCCTCATAAGACTATTTTCTCCGCCTTGTTTCTTGAGATCATCGATGATGTCAAGCTGATGTTTCGAGTTGGAATCCGCATCCGTGAATATGGCCATCCATGGTACATTACCGCCATATTGGTCCCACATCTCGCCTGTCAGTTCCGGCTTCTTCTCCTCTTCGTTGATTAGGCCACAAACTATGACGAATCTCCAATATCTCGGCCGAATAGTGAACTCGACCCACGCCGTGAAGTTCTGACGATTACCCGTGATGAAGCGTTTGCTATGCAGATCCCATAAGCTATAAGGTCTTGCAGAGAAATTTTGCATTCTATAGCCCTCCGAAACGTGGAAGTGGAAGATCAAGCAAGCTTGAAGTTGTT